CTGGAGAGTGAAGGTAGGTCTGGCCTGTGACAATACAAGTCACTCCCCATGGATCTGCCGACGTGACAGATCCTGCTGCAGCAGGGCTACTGTCAAGGGTTGGTTGGGCCTTTTCAGTTTTAGCCTGTTTCTGGAAATAATTTAGAGGAAGAAAAAGAGAGGGCAAGAAGTCCTAACTGCAGTTTTTTGTTGTGGTTTTTTTTTTCCTCATGAGTCACCTGCACAGTTTTCTCAATTTCTGTGTGAAACGAAAGTGGCCAGCGCAGCACATGGTGTGGATGTGCCGCTGGGATCCTCTGGCCAAGTCCAAGGTGAAGATGTGGCAGCACCAGCAGCAGGGCCACCTGGGGCCGACGGGGTGCAGGTGACAGCCGGGGAAGCCGGAGGAGGTCCCCAGGGAGCTGCTCTTCAAGACTGACATCTACATCTTGCAGAACTTTCACTCAGAAGGGAAGTGAAACCTGGTGGATATGGTTTGGGACACAAAGGAACGACATGAGAACTCAAAAGATGTTCAAAAGAACAAATTATTTTGAGGGTCTGAAAGATTATCCCGCTTTTTGTCTTACTGAGCCACAACCATCAGAAAACCCGAGAGGTTCCCAGTATCTCAGGGCAGGCTCTGCCTCCGGGAGCGGGTAGACAGTGTCATGAGTAAGTGTTGGCTCTGCACTTCCCACCGGTTGCCAATGAGCACAACACGGACACAATCCTATGCAATATCTTGAATGTTAGATGATTATTTTCCATGTATATAAACCGTGTTGGGATGTGTGTTTGCATGCCTGTGTGTACATGCATAGGTACATTCTGTCATCTATTTTTACATTGTTTAATTGTCTGCGAATGTGGAGGTACCGTGGAAATATTTTTTCATTGAACTGGTACAAGATGGAAACACACAGGATTGTGTGTCCTGCAAGCCTTTTAAATATAACACAAACCAAAACATCTTGTCCTTTAGGATCAAAAGTAGGGGTGGGGCTAGGGAAAAGTGCTAGAAAGTTTCAAACTGAAGTTTCTTCTTTTTTTTGTTTGTTTATTTCATGTATGTTGGCCCCAAAATATTTTTTTCTGCATGGTATTTTGAGTGTCATCACATCACATAATGAAAAAGTGTAACTGTAATCTATATCTTGCACTTCTTAACCTGTAGAAATGTCCTTAGCTGTTAGAGAAATTCATAATTTATGAACAAGTGACAGCTTCAAAGGTCAGAATAAAGGATTTGCACATCTGCTGGAAAACCAGAGTTAAAAGACTAAAGAGGAATATACAAACCATTATTTCCCAATTTGAGTACCTGTGCTATTGATACCCACAGCACTTGCAGAAAGAAAGTAGCAGGTGTGTTTCTTTTATGAAACTTTTCTAAAGAAGTAAGATTTAGAAAATGAACAGATTTCATTTTATCTTTGGTTTTTATCTGGATTTTTTGACACTGTCAGAGAATGAATGACCTAGAAATGATCATGTAAGTCTTTCCTTTGACTTCTCAAGATAAGCCTAGTGAATGTAGATTTGCAAGTCTTTTCATTGAGTAATTCTTCCTCAGGAAGATGAAAATAGTGATAGTAAATATGACTCAAGGCGAGATCCTTGGCTGCATGGAGACATTTAGATATATTAGGATGAAATCACTAGCGGTATAAAATCAATGAGTGCATATTAAGACACATTAATCCTGAGTTTAATGTGGCCTTAATTTACTGCAGTTTAATCCTCCTTATTTTCACTTTCTGCTTGGAACTTGTACTTTGAAACATGAAAATTGTCATATTGCCAAAGTGCTTTGACACTGTGTTCTAATAAGCTTGTCAAATGTAAAACTTAAGTCTGCAAGATTAATTTCCCTGTAATCTTGAAGGCTGCTATTTTGAAGTGCATTTTGGAAGACTCTAATGTGGTAGCATGAAATAACAGAATGATTTGGTGTCCTATTTGGTAGGTGGCTTTCACTCCAGAAGACAGTCTCTCAGGACACTGTCTATGCAGCAAGCTACTATTTTTTTTGGTAACAAAATCTGTAGGTGTACCTTCACTAGTGCCTGGAAGTTAGAGCTACTAAGAAGGAGGTAAGTAGAATATGCATAACTCACAGACAATTGCTGTTTTCAGTAGTCTGATACACTTTGTCCTATCCACACAGGGCTCAGTTGTGCTACAGTAAATATCAAATATTGAAATAGTAAATTCTTTGCCAGGCCGAAATAATCTGAATGTGAGCTGGTGTGGAGTAGCAGATAAGATTTGAACTTGACCCCTGCCCACCCCCCATCCAGACTATTTCACTATCTGGTTTTGTGTAACCACTGTTTTCCTCTCTGCCTTTTTATTGGAGTTATCCCTTGGCTTACAGTGAAATGTTGCTCCCAGCTGGTACAAAAGGCAATGTAGCCAGTATCTTTTCCACAAAGTAAACATCTCGTCCAGGATACACCCAGGTAGGACCCTGGTTTCACACTAAGGGCTTAGGCAGAGCTTGATCCATGTGGGCACATCAGTCCATCTTATTCTTTTCCCCAATAAATGAGTGTGAATCATGTTTTGACTGGTCAAGAGCATGGTCATGTAATATTAACCATTCTGTGGAGCCTCAGCATACCTCTTCAACTGTACATCCAACTTTAAAAGGATGTAACCTCCATTTTCCTAGTAAGAACCTTGTTTCTATTCTTCAGCTGAGGCCCTTTGTTTGGCCACCATGGTGGCTGACTGGATGAGACCTTTGAATTTACAACTTCTTTTGATATTCAGTCTTCGTGCCCTGGTACAAAAAGGAAGAAAAGGCTGATGGAGGTAAAAGACAAATCCACGTGTGGATGTTATATGACAAACACAGTGAACAAAATTGTCTCAAAAGCTTTGGTTTACATGGATGCTGAAATAGTCTTGGGATGTAGCAATCTGGAAAAGACTGCCTTTTTTCACTTTTATCTTGACATGATGAAGGAATCATGGAACAAAAGCCCCTAGAAGGGGGCAAGCGGCAGACTTTGAATGATACACGGGTTAGGCAACGGTTATGAGCATAAGTACACTTTCAGAACTGATGCAGTTTTGGAAATGGTAGTGTCATAAACAACATAAAACAATTCTCATCATGATTTACCTAACATTAAGGTTCTTACATGACAGTGACAAAAAAGCTTTAGACGACTTTGAGCTTTAGAAACCTTGTACCATGATTCATTTGGATTATGTAATGATCTTCCAAACTCCTATGCCTCTTCCACACAGTTATTGTTAAAATTCCCTTTTTTTTTTCACTTAGATGAAGACATATTAAACAGACACAGAAAAAAAAAAAAAAAAGAACAAAAAAAAGAAAAAAGAACAAGTATTTTACACAGAATGACCAAAAATTGTAGATTCTAAAGCCCTTCTGCAGAATACTCTCAGAAAGCAAGGAACTGTGCCTCCAGTCCACACACTTGAATAATTCCTCAAACATCCCCATGTCCTCAAGATTTATTTTCAATAATTAAAAAAATGTTTTTAAATGTAGTTCTCAGGGGTGGAGCTGATGCCCCACGTCAGTATTTCCACTAACATCCTGGATTGCACATTCCGTAGAAGAGCATAAAGTGCTATGACATTTTTTTTTTTTTTAAATTTAATTTGGAACTTCTTCACCCTTTCTGTTATTATTTTTATTATTATTTTTACCTTGTAGCTCCTATATTCTTGTAATGACACATAAGAAGGTGCTTAAAGGTCTTCTTGAAAGTAGCATTGCAGAGCGCATAACAAGCAGGGTTGATGGTGCTGTTGATATAACAGAGCCAATAACCTATGGTCCATACAGTGCCGGGGATGCAGGATGTGCAGAAGCTGTTGATGAGCACCATCACATTGTATGGGGTCCAGGTGATGATGAAGGCCAGAAGGATGGCCAAAATAGTCCTTGTCACTTTTTTCTCTCTAGAAGGAGGTGGTTTCTTTTTGGCTGGCTGCTTTGTCATCTTGACAATTTTCCGGGCTACACTATTCTGCTTCTCCTCCCCGTTGGTGCCTACAATCTCCACGGTAGTATTGGTGGGGGCGCAGCAGTCACCCTTTTGGGACTTGGTGACTATCCTGATGCATGTCAGCTTGGAGTTCTCAACTTTGAGATGGTCTTGGGAGGCAGAAGCCTGGCTGGCATCTTTGGCAGCTTCATCCTCTTTCATGTTGGAAGCGACCACGCTGACAGAGGTGGAGTCATTAGAGCTGTCCTTCTCCTCCCCTTGAACACAGTTCTCCGTCACAGTCTCTCCGGTGGTTTTTCCATTCTGAATTTTGCTGTGCTCCAACCCATCCCCACTGGTTGGGATGTTGTTATTGTTTGGTTTCACTATTTTACCTTGGACAAGGCTGGGGGAAACTGTATCTTGGTTTTGGGCAGCTTCCTTTTTCCCTTTCTTTATCCGACTCTTACTGGCTCGAGAGATTTGCCAGTAAAGGACAGTCATGATGATAACAGGCAAATAGAAGGCTGCAATGGCAGTGCCAAATGTGACGGCAGCATTGGAAAAAAACTGGATATAACAATCCCCATCTGGGACAGTCCTTCCTCCCACAATGAACTGCCAGAAAAGAATTGCAGGGGCCCACAGGATGAAGGACAGCACCCACGCAGCTGCGATCATCATGCCTGCCATCTTAGTGGTCCGCTTTACAGGATATGTCAGAGGCTTGGTGACACAAAAGTATCTGTCAAAGCTGATAATGAGGAGGTTCATTACAGAGGCGTTGCTGACCACATAGTCAAGAGCCAGCCAGAGGTCACACACCACAGGCCCTAAGGGCCAGTAGCCTATCACAGTGTAGAGGGTGTAAAGGTTCATAGAAAAGATGCCGATGATCAAGTCAGCGCAGGCCAAGCTGAACAGGAAATAGTTGTTGACAGTCTGTAGGTGCCTGTTGACTTTGATTGACACCATGACCAGGATGTTCCCAATTATGGTGACTAAACTGAGAGACCCTGCTACCAGGACGATGAAGACCACCTCAACAGTTTTATAGGGGCTCTCCAAAGCCATCACATTTTCAGTGGAGGAGTTTATGTATGTTGAGTTATTCATTTCTGTTCTGCTAACAAGATACCCAATTATCACTTAAGCCTGCAGAGGAAAGAAAACAAAACAGATACCATCATGAAATTAGTCCCTTTGCCTTTAGGAAATGGATGCCAGAAAAACTACTTGGAAAGAGTTCAAAGGCAGAAGATGTGTGCAGAAGGACCAGTCAGATTTGGCTAATGAAAACACCTTCCAATATATAATATCCCCTTAGGAATAACATACCCAAAAGGATACCTCTAAATACGTGACAAAGACACAACATTTTAATCCAGATCTAGAGTTTTTAAGTTCTCAGATGCATTTTTCTCTTTGTCCTGTTACAAAACTAATAATGACTTGAAAATTTTGGAACTGGATCTGCATATTGGTTTCTTTCCTACCAATAAAATAGTTCACTTTGCTCATTTCAAACCCTATTCCAAATAAAAAAATCCAGTCCTGAGGGTATGCCATTCTTATAACCCGAGGTGAAGATGCGATTTAGCAGGAGCCAGATCACATGAAATGACTTATGTTTCCATCTTCATGTTCCATCTGGGTATGCTTCTGTGAGGTTTATGGAACAAGTTTATTTCATGTCTCCCTCTAATTTTCTTACACTGCAGTTACTTTTTTTGTCAACACTTGCAAAGGTTTTGGCCCTGCATCAAACCGAAGTTATTAGTCTGCCAATAAAAGAAAAAAGGGTAGGTCTGTTGAAGTCAATGGAATTAGTAAACTAACCTCAGTTGAGCATCTGGCTATCTAGTTAGATGTGTACAATTTTTATATTTCTTTTCCATTTCAGTGAGATTAAAGTGATTTTTTTTACTTCCTCTTGACTATTTGTACCTGGAAAAAGGGTGGTGGTTTGGTTTTTTTTTAACGTGATGAGGCTATCTCTTGATGCTTGCTTGCTTATACTTTCCTCAGTTTTTTTCAGATCACAATATTTTTAATCTGGACCACATAACGCTATGACAAAAGGTACGAAATGGATAGCAGGGTAATGATAAGGAAAGAAACAGACAAAAACCAGTTCTGTTTATACGCAGCAATTCTTTTTGAGCCCTGTATAGCCTACCAGCAGTACTCAATAAATAGTAATTAAACTACTAGCAATACACATTTGATAGAAGACCAAGAAAACAGCACATGCTTTTGCCTTAAGGATATGTACTATCCTTTTGTGCATCCCCTGGAAGTCAATAGAATGCACCGGAATCGTACAGCCAGTCTCCAAGCGCTCATTATTTATGAGCTGTGCTCAAGGGATTATCGAGTGAAGGCCAGATGTGACCGAGAAGTTAGGTTGTTTCTAATTGGAATATTCTCCTTTTTCCCCTACCCATAAGGCATCACTTCTTTAAGACAGAGCTTCTAAAAGTGGGGGGGCAATCAAAGGAAGACAAAAAATTCAGTTATGCTTGGCTCCTCCATACATCAGGGATTAAGGAATCCTTGTCTGGCCCCTGTGACTAACCTGCTGATGCACAGATATATACAATCCATGTCACTTTAACGGAGCAATGCATTTTCACTGTCTCTTCATCGCTGCATATTTTCTTTCAGATGCAAAAGGAAGATGATGCAAAATGTCAGCACAACAGCAAAAAGCCTTCTGACCTCTAAGAAAAATAAGCAAGTCTGTCTCTATGGAAAGGTCAAAAGGCTATACCAGGGTAAAGGTTTTCTGTATGAGGCAACTTTGTAATCTTGTAATTTATACTTAAAGAAATACAACTGGCAGAAGGTGGGGCTCATACATTTGCCTTTGCTTTTAAAAACAGCTAAGATTTGTTTGCCAATTCCATGCTGAAGTGAACACATGGATAAGCAGAGGAACATAAGGCTAGACAGATATTTTTTCCTACTATCTATTCGCAGGTACCTCCCTAAAATCCTTGAGATCAGGTTCAAGAGAACAAAACTGTGAGGAGGAATGCTTTAATTAAATATGTGCTTTGTACAGTAAGAACAGGTTGAGGGGAATATAAAAGAATTTATACTCTCTGCAAAAAACAGACAGGAGAATAACACAGACATCTTTAATATATAGGGCTGTCATTTCAGCAATTCACCGTGTGCTTTTCACACAAAGCCTTGCAGCTGAGCAGCTGGCTATCCAGTTAGATGTGTAAGCTATCAATTTTTTGGGACAAGCTAAGAACTCCTCCCAAGCAGAGTTGTTTATGAACATTCTTGACAGAATGCATTTTTGATGAAAAGACAAAATAACTCACAGAGATGTATTGATTTCAAAAAAATTTCAGCTGAAAAGGGTTTGTGATCCAGGGCTCTGCAGCTACCTCTGGTGACAGAGAGTGAGAGGGGGGAGCAAGAAGGGAAGAGAGTGAGAGAGGATCAGACCTGAAAAAATTGTGCTTTATGATAAGAAAACAAGTGTTTTTCTACAATTTCATTTTGACAAAATGTTCAGAGGTTTTGTTTTCATTCCACTGAAGAACTAAAATTCATTTTAAAACCTTAAAACTTGTTGTGAAACCAAATTACCATCTCCCAGCTAACTTTATTCCTAAGTCTTTTCAGCTGATTTTTTTATCCACTTCCAATTGAAATATTGGTAATTCAGTATAAATTCCCTTGATTTTATTATCTCCTGTGCAAGGAGCTGGATGAGAGCTAAAAGCTAATTTTACTTGTTAGGAACAGGATTTCACTGTGTTCTTTTGAATGGAAGCAAAACACAGGAGTCCTTTTCCCAGTGATTTCTCTTTGCAGAAAACTTTTCTGTCACGAGAAGACTGGTAGTTCTGGACTGCAAATTACATTGACCGTTACGGCTTTCTTAGGTGTGGAGAAACATACCTGCTATCACTTACTCCAGTAAAATCTCCCTTTGCTTGCATCAATATGATTGTAAAGTGAACCAGGTTTTGCTGTGTGTGTTGACGAGAAGATGTAGGGCGTGAGAAACATTTGATTTCAACCGAAGTACATCATCGCTGCTGATGGTACTACCATATGAGCAGAGACAGGGGTATGCATGCTTCCTAATCCAGGATCCCTGAAATCTGCTGGACTCTCTCCTGTTGGCTCCAGTAGGGTTTGAATCAGGCCCGTAGTGAGGTTTCTGTTTCTTATTGTGGCCGCTTGCTCCCTGGGTACAGGTCTGCCTGTGGACTACTTTCGTTTTTGTCATGCCACAGAGCCCATCTCTCCTGTTGGAGAGGCAGTTGTTATGGGAACAGATGTTATTCACCAGGCAGGCCTATGGGGCAGAGGCATTTTAAGGTAATATGACCTCCTGTTATGAGAAGTACCAGATCTTATTCTTGAACAAACAGAGCTCTCCTCTGCAAGCCCATGGGTGTTTGTGTGAGTTACACAATATGGCACTGACTCCCGTGGGCTGCCATAATTTATCCTTGTATGCTAAGTGCATTCTTGCTAAGCAGAGAATACCCAGAAAAGGCAAGAAATTTCTCTTGTGACCTGAAAACCAACCAAGTTCATCTTCTGAAATATATTTTAAAATATATATGACTTTGTGGAATGCAAACACCATAATCATTGCATGGAAAATGTCCAAAGCCAAGAAATCCACATATAAAATAATTCATTGTTTAATATTTGATATGCAGTTGGGAAACATTTCTAGTGCAGTAGTTTCTCCCCTCTAAAGAACTACTTCACAATGCTGAAAATAATTCCCTTCCCTGCTCTTGACTAGACAAGGGTTTGGGGCAGAACTGGGGGATTTGGTGGCCTACATGGTAGGTGCACTTTTGGCCTGGAGTGATGCCGCGTCTTTTTGCAGTGAGTAGTAGACAGGCAGAAGCAGGGCACAGGTGGGTTCACCTGGACCCCCATTAGCTGTACCCCCATTACCTTTTGCAAGGAGAAACATAGTCCAGGCTGGCACAGGCTGGAGTAAACCTTCACAGAGCGTGCTGGCAGCCACGGTCTGCTTCGCCTTCCTTCATTTACCTCCCTAGCAGTCACTGGGAACAGCAAAACAAAGGTCTGATGGGTGAACGCTGCAAGCTGGTTCATTGTAAAAGGGAACTGCAGTGAGTGTGAGGAAGCAAAATGATGCCATTGAGGGTATTCATCCTATTCCATTGCAGACCGTGAGGAGGAGGCCTGCAGAAACGGGAGGGCAAGGAGAAGAGACAAGGACTGCATGTCACCCTTAGAATCATGATCCTCAAACAGGACGTACTTAGGTATTACATCCTGCTGACCGTGCTTTCCACTTGCCCTGACAGGATCCTATCCCTTTGGTGCAGATGAATCTTGTAGCAATAACTGTAATTTTAAATTTAGAATATGTATCTCCAACATCTGTCACAAAACAGGCTATGGAAATATTCTGTATATTGAAAAAAATGGTTAATATGCCATACCTGTCAAAGTTTGTTAGACAAATCCTTCCTCTGTATTGTGCATATTGCCAAGTTAATATGGTAAAGGATTTAATGGCTTCTTTGAATCCTCTGAAACCATATAAAGGTCAAGACATGAAAGAGGAAACAAATGAACTGTACCGGAAAGTTATATGTGTGATTTAAATGGGATTACCTAGGAACCTATGTGCATTGCTACTCTGAGTGCTTTTCAGCATTCAACTCTCAAACAAAAGTAAAATATACTTTTTTAATGTCTCCTCTTTGATCCAGTTCCTCTCCAGTCCAAACCTATGTAAAATGGATTTGATTTTTGCTGTAGCAATAATTTTTTTTTTTCCTAAACTGATTTTGATCCTGAACTGCACTGGTTTTTATTCTAAATTCCTTCCTGGCACCATTTAAAGCCACAGTGTAAAAAAAGAGAGAGAAACAAAACCTCTAAGCCCGTGACAAATATACTAGGCATGTTAGTCAGAATTTATTACAGACTTAAGAGAGATTATAGATCTAGTCTGGGCTTTTGGTAAAAAATACATTTCAGAAAATTCCCAAATATCAGAAGACTAAAATCTTCACCACATTGGTTACCTCCTGCAATCCATTTGAAACTAGAAATAAAAATAAAAAATACTCCCCCAAAAGCAGTAGGGAACTGTACATGAGTAGGTGGCAGTGCTGGCA